GCGTCTAAACAACATTAGATATGCCGACGACGCAGTAGTTTTTGCAGATAGTCTGGACGGTTTGCAAAGAATAATGTCGAGTATATCAGATATAAGTAGAGAACACGGACTTGATCTTAATACGAAGAAAACAAAGTACATGGTAGTCAGTAATCGCGAAATATTAAATACACCGCTTTTGGTTAACCAACATCCAATTGACAGAGTGGACAGCTACACATACCTTGGTACCAACATTAACAGCCAATGGGATCAGTCCAGTGAAATAAAACAACGCATAGGAAAAGCGAGATCAGCGTTCATAATGATAAAGTCCCTTTTCAGAAGTCATGATTTACCACTTGCTAACAAAATCTCTCTCATTAGATGCTATGTATTTTCTACCTTATTATACGGAGTAGAGGTCTGGACACTTTCCGAAGCTTCCTTAAGAAAACTCGAGGCATTCGAGATGTGGTGTTACAGACGTATCTTAAGAATTTCATGGGTGGATCGTGTGACTAATGTTGAGGTCCTACGTAGAATATGCAAGGAATGCGAGATTATTAACACCATCAAAGAGCGCAAACTAGAATATCTTGGCCATGTTATGAGGAATGAACAGAGATACGGCTTGTTGCAACTTATTCTTCAGGGCAAGGTATTTGAAAAGAGAGGACCAGGTAGAAGAATTCTCACTCTATCAAACGCTTTCTTCAAATCTATCAGGCACATATATGCTGGTTTGTTGTATTCCAGCGACTTTTCATTTATTTGTCTTGTTCCTCTTGCAGAGATATTCGTTCGTTTATTTTTGTCGCTAATAATCTTGTTGTCAATTTGAGTGTTGTATTTAAAATATTTATTGTTCGATAATTATTAAGGCCTTTCTTATCTACTTTTTTGAAGAACATCACCTTGATCGCTCCCCTACATTCATCTGGTATTCTGTTCGCGGTGATTATTTTATTAATAAGAAGTTGCAGTTGTTGTACAAGGTAATCACCTCCATATTTTAAGAGTTCATTTGGTATTTGATCATCTCCTGGTGACTTTCTATTTTTTAATTTGTTTATTCCTTCTTTCACATCGTTTTGGGAGATTTCGGTCTTTTCCTCAGTTACTATATTTGGCGTTTCTGGTAAAGATTCTTTACCAGAAACTTCTTTTTATATAAAATCAATCCTGGCAATCGGCAACTGGTTTTTCAGTATTTGTACTGAGCGGAAGTCATGTAGGCCAGAACAGTCAATACATAACAGTATCCGGTACGGTGGCAACCACCTAAAAAGCGTGACAATACGGGTAAAGGAAGCCAAGGGAATGACTACTACACTCTTCTTCCCAGGAGTATTATTACAGTTGAGGAACTAAATGTACTCCGTGTACGTGTGCCCCTTAAATGAGATAGGGATGCGAAGAATCTCTCGCTTGGCCAAATTTAATATTGAAATAAATTGTACAATAGGAATGTGCGGAAGAACACTGCATATATAAATTTTGGGCATAAGCGAAATGAGGTGGCCCTGATCTGGCCAATGCAATGTGGATAACCATAAAGTACATTATTAAGGAAAAGACAGCAATTATCATCGTAATGGTGTGGAATTCATTGTCTCAATTGAGGTTAGCAAATGACAGAATAGCGGAAAGTAAACTAGAAGAACTTGAAAAGTTCTTCACAGACTTAAAAACTGTTACTGACCAACTCAAAAACAGAGATCTGACAATACTGATTTTTCTTCTTCTTCTTTCTCAGCTTTTTCAGGGGACGCTAACGACCCCGATAGGGGCCACATCGCTACTTATTTCTGTCTATCGGGTCTTCTTCATCTAAATGTTTTTCTCTCAAGTCTTCTACCACACAGTCCTTTCAACTTTTCCTAGGGTTTCGTCTACCACTCGATCCATCACCTTCTAACAGCCTCTATCCTTTGTACCATATAATTTTCATTTCTACGTCTGACATGATCAAACTATTATTGCAGTCTCTGTTCTTGAATCTTTTTTGAGACTGTAGTCATTCCGGCTCTTTCCCTAATCAAGCCGTTCCCAATCCTACACCTTCTAGTCTTACCCAACATCCACCGTAATATTTTCATTTCAGCTATCTCCATTTTCTTCTTCTGAATCTTCTTTACAGGCACACTTCACCGCCGCGTGTCGTACACCAATGCTGGTCTCACCACATACTCTTATATATCTTTCCTTTCAGTCTTTTCCCGATTTTTCGATTACAAAGCACTCCTCTCGTTCGCTTCTAGCTAAATCAACTAGTCTGTAAGACAATTTCTCGTTCTAGTGTCCCATATTCTATTATGGAGGAGCCAAGGTATTTAAATTCTCCTATTTCTAGTTTTTCTTGTAACAATTCTATGTCCCTAACCATTCCTCTACCTCCTAACTACACATACTTCATTTTCAACCTGATAATCACTCCTCCCTCTTCAACCCTTCAACTTCTCCAACATATCTTTGCTCTCCTTTACTAACACGATATTATTAGCAAAGAGAATTGACCAAGGAGCTTCCTCCCTTACTTTCTCAGTTAGTACATCCATAACTAGCTTGAACAGGTAGGAACTCAGTGAAAAGCCTTCATACAAAGTAACCGTCACTGGAAAACTTTCGGTCAATCCAACACAAGTTCTTACTTTGGTGTAGCGTTCCCTTATAAATATCCTTCAAGAGTCTTACGTACTTTTGAGGAATCCATTTCTCTCTCATACATCTCCATAGCTCTTGTCTAGGGACTGTGTGGTACGCCTTCTCAAGATCTATAAATACCAAATGTAGCTCTCTTTTCTGTTCTTGGTATTTCTCTACCAACTGTCTCAAATCAAACAAGGAACCCGTTGTTCTCCTTCCTCGCACAAACCCAACCTGTTCTTTTCCTATCGGTGTCGTTTTCCTAAACTTTCGCTGTATAGTTCTCTTTCAAATTATTATTGTTTATCCTTCCATAATTCTTACAGATGTCTTCTTTATTTTTATACAATGATACTACTACACTTTCTCTCTATGCATTGGGCTTCCTTTCTTAGTCATGTAGCGTACTTATCATGTCTCAAAATATAAATCCCTTTCTCGCCTTCCAAACCTCCACAGGTATTCCATCAGATCCTACTACCTTAGCACTCTTCATCCTATTGAACGACCCGACAACCTCAAATCTCGCTATCCCCTTTACAACATTTTCATTTGAGATCTCGCATCCTCTGTCTATCCTCTGGTGTTCTTTATTTAATAACTTTCTAAAGTACTCATGCTATCTTTGATTTATTTAATATTGGTTCTTAACACTCTTCCATCCGCACTTTTATTCTGCCGTATGTGGGTCAAGTCCTTTATTGATTTGTCCCTTGCTTTAGCAATGCTGTATAACCTTTTCATCCCTGGGTGTTTAAAACTCTTCATACTGTGCAGACAATCTTTCTTAGCAGTAGCTACATCGCGCTTTGCTACCTTGTATATATCCTTATCTTCCTCTGTTTTAAATATGTCATACATTCTAGTCTCTTCCTTCTTTCTAACCTTCTGTTGAACTTCATCGTTCCACCACCAAGTTTTTTGTGTGTAGGAAACACTTTAATAGATGTTTTTCCTAGCACTTTCTCTCCCACTCGCACCATAACTTTACTGTTAGCTTCTCAAAGATTCTTGGCATATCCTTATCCTTTAACTTCCACCACTTTCTGGTGTCCTACTTACTTTTCTTTCCGCCTCACCTTTATCTCCTTATCCACTATCACCGGTCGATGTTAACTAGCTACACACTCACCACTTTAAAGTTGGTGATCTCTTTTAGCTGACTTCTACACAGCACAAAATCTATCTGATTCCCCTTCCTCCGCTACTATAGGTAACATACTGGTTTTCAGTCTTCATAAACAACGTATTAATGACAGCCAAATCCCATGCCACTATAAAATCAATAATACATTTATACATTCCTACATTACATTAATACTTAATACATTGTTTAAGCCATCGTTAAACCGTGGTGATACTCTAAATATTATCAGCTTGCTGTCTCCATTGACTGCGATCCTGTGTCAGATGGACGGTATCATGTAGTGATTTTCCCGCCAAAGGATTTATTTGATCTGTCTATCGTGTTCCTCTTGATCTTCGGCCTTATAACTTTACTTCTAATACCAGAAGTTTGAAGACAACGACCTCCTCCTTCGTAACAACATCAGACATACGTTGTTAGAAGAAAAATCAACTAGTATTAGAACAGGTGTGGGAGAGACTGATAAATTTCCAAATGTGATAGTAGGATTCCACCAACGCGTGGTACTTATTTATTCTGATTATTGTTAGATCAGGTAATAGCGAAACTAGAGCGGAACATTCCCTGGTGCTTAATGTATGCTAATGATATTTATAGTGTACTAGAAAGTGGTGAAAGCGATTTAGAACAAGAACTAGAATACTGGAGACAAGCCCTAAAAAAAGGTTGCAAACTTAGTAGGATGAAATGAAAAGAAGCGAGTGGTTTGTTGTGTGATAGAAATATTTCAATGAAGTTGAAGGGAAAATTCTATAAACCAGCGATAAAACCAGCTAGTATGTATGGAACTGAATGCATGTGATGGAAATGAGAATGCTTAGATGGATGAGTGGAGTGATAAAAAAGGATAAAATTAAAAATGAGTATACTAAGGGAAGTATAGGGGTGGCACCAACGAATGCTAAAATGTCGGTAAAGGGGTTGATATTGGTATGACCCAAGATATACTCATAAAGGCAAAGATAATGATAATGAGTGGACGTTGCTGATCTTCAGTCACACTATTATTACACCTTCCTATCTTATTGCTTCCAGGAATTTCCGTATTATTTAATCCATTATTGATGAGAACACAGATAATTCTCATTATCTATCATTGCTATATACTTATTGGTACTTTTTTTTTTATTCAATAAACATAAAAAGTATCTTGGGGTATTCGATCATACAAAAAAAAACTTTATAATAAAATAATTTTATATACAATAAAAAACAAACAGGTACACTAATTTTTGTCCAATATCAATCTTTTTTGGTGTTACAATAAAAAAACTATACGATAAATATCTTTTTGGCTTAATTCGAGACATACATATATTAGGCTTACAATAAAATTCAGTCTTCAAATTTGTCAATAAATGATATTTTGAATACTACATTCCTACATCCTAATTACTGCCAGACTGAGTATAAAATTCGTCTCTGACGGCCGAGAGACTAAATCGAAAAAATGTTTTCGTTCCTACCATAGAAAGACGTAATGACGCTAGTAGCGAGTAGCGATAATGTTAGCAATAATCCATGTTTAACTTAATAGTGCAACAGCACTAAACCTGACAGTTGCTAACACCTATTTTGAACATTCACAATGCAATCTGGATCTGCTGTGACAAAAAAAAAACAAATCAGATTGACCACCTTAAAATATTTAAAAAACACGGGAGAAACATAATGAATTGCAGAACTGATAGATCTGAGAACAGATCATTTCTCAGTAATCTCAAAATTGAGAACAGAAACAGTAAAAATTGATCATAAATGGAAGAAAAATCAAAATGCTCTAGTATTAGTTAGTAAATAAACCTTAATCACCTTAAATAAAACAATGAAATATTGAGAGCAAAAATTCTTGGGTTTATGTATCAAAAATATGCATAAATACAGCTTCCTATGCAAAAAAATTCGAAAATCTGCTAGGAGATCTATAGATCTAGAGTATAAATTGTTACCCCCATGGGAATACGAGAGGGGAAAAATGGGCTGACAATGCTGAAGAAACATGCTGGAACGATATAAATGAACAAAACTGCGTATAGATCAGTCAAAGAAAAAAGACGAAAAAATTACCTTAACATAAACATGTTTGAATATATCTCGATTTCATAATCTTCTATACATTCAGTATATTCTGGAAAATTGACAGGAATATATGTTCTAAACTAACATATAATATTTAGTTTGAAAATAGCTGTCACCTAAAATATATCTAAGTACCTGAATAATCTAAAATAACCGACAAATTTGCGCAAACTTCTTAACAAGAAGAAATTCTATAACACGATGTTTTTTACAAAATAAATCGTAAGACTGCTACTCTCCCCCATTGCTCTGCATATAATTTAAAGACAAACCCATCGTGGGTATACTACTCACGACATCTGTGGTCCGTTTGTGAACTGAATCAAACACAGAGTTTCCATACTTTACTGTATTAGTCACAGCTCCTAAAATACCTTTCATGAGTTTTTTCCTTGATCCCTCAAGTTCTTTATCGATTTTCACCTCATTTTTTTCAATTAAATATTTCAATACAGTCCGGTTGAAGCTACTAGGGTTTTCTTGGTGGGGAAAATGCCCAGCATTTTCGATTATTTTCATGAAGAACTTCTCACAGTACTCTGTAGAATCCACTATACCCTCTAATTTTACCAAATGATCTTTTGCTCCCGTAATTAGTACAACTGTATTGGTTATGTGTATTCCATTTTCTTGGATTTTAAGGAATGGAAGATTTCTGTAGTAGTTTATGGGTCCAGTCCAGTCTTCTTGCCTTGAAAAGACGTATTTATAAGCCTCTAGGTATATATCGTTTTGTGGAAGATGTTTGTGGTACTGATTGATAATCTTAACATCTTCTTTAAGAGCATCGATTTCTGGTAAATACGGAATTTGGACAAAATTTAGCCATTGATAGGCTACCTTGCTGGCACTAATTAAATTCTTCCAGTACACATTGGGATGCGGACAAGAAACTGCTATAAACTTCTTCACCAAACCTGGATGCTGGTGAACCAAATACCAACCTACTAAACCACCCAAATCGTGTCCAATCACATCACATTCACTGACACCCAGTGCATGTATAAAATCCTTAATTTCTTCAAGAATTATTTTGATTCTGTAGCTGCTTCGCCATGCTGGTTTATCTGAATCTCCAAAGCCTTTCAAATCCAAGGCTACAACTCTAAAATGCTGGATAAGAGCAGGTAGTTGGTACCGCCAGCTAAGCCAGCAATCCGGGAAGCCATGTAGCAGGAGTACCAGTGGTTGATCCCGTGGTCCTGCCTCCACATAATGTAGTTTTATTCCCTAAAAGATAAATAAATTAAGAAAGGTAATTAAATTAAAAGGTAAATAAAAAAAATATATCAACAGTTCCTTAAACTCTCAGTTAATACCCATAAGTCGACTAAATATCAAAACTGCCAAAAACATCGAAAAATCATCGATTTCAAGTAAATATGATACAGATTTTTTAACTTTGTAAACAGTATATGAGGGATAGTTGATGACAAATCCTTGTAGACCTACAGCTGATTTTGCTTGTTTTTTTTTAAACCTTCATCAAAAGTGAAAAATCGTTGTTTTTTGCCCATAAAACATTTCTTATACTATTTTTCAAAGTAAAAACGTTGTATGTCACAATTTATACAAAGTGAATTCACTTGTATTTAAAATTTTCAGAACATCAACCTTAGAGTTAAAATTTCTCTAACACAGGCACGCCTTTCATAGGCGTCAACATCGTATAATAATCAGAAAAATGTAATCACGATTATATTGAGAATTTTATAATTATACTGATTAAATAACCAAAAACATTTGTTATTATTAATAATATAAAATTTATAAAATAACTTTTTATATTTATAAAATATAAAAAATAACTAAAATAAGTTTAATACTGTGTAAGTTTAATAATTTTAATCAATTAGATTAAAAAATCGTATGTTACTGATATGGAAATACGTAAAATTTCAATGACAGTTCTGCCTTTGGTAACATTGTTTACGGTGTTGCCGATTTTTTAGAGTAAGAATTTTGTTTATGTTTTGATTTCTGACACAATTTAATTCACAATATATTATACATTAATAAATTGTATTTATAAATACATTAGCTTAATAGCTTTAAAATTAATTATTGTTGTTCATTGTATTTTCGTCTAGTTGACAACTAGACGACAATACAAATCCCATCCCACTTAAGAGAGGAGTGAGACAAGGAGACGTAATATCGCCAAAGCTTTTCAACCAAGCCCTAGAAGACGTCTTCAAAACTACAAATTGGTTAACCTATGGCATTAACGTTAATGGCAACAAGTTAAACCACCTTATAGCGAGCACATTCGAGGAACTGCAAATTATGTTGGGGGAACTAGCAGCCAGCTCCCAATATGTCGACCTAAAAATGAATATGAAAAAAACAAAAATAATGACAAACACAGAAGACCCCAGACATATAACTATAAACGGCAGTGAGATAGAACAAATCCAGGTATATATCTACCTAGGCCAAATCCTGAGACTTGACAAAGAGAACCAAAGTGCGGAAATTACTAGAAGAGCAAGACTAGCATGGGTAGGATTTGGAAAACTTAGTTGGATACTTAAGAACCGCAAAATAAACCAATACTTGAGGAGCAAAGTGTTTAACCAATGCATCCTTCCTATCATGACATATGGATGTCAAACCTGGACCCTAACCAAGGCAAACATGAATAAACTAGCCACAACAGAAAGAACAATGGAAAGAGCAATGTTAGGTATACAACTGTCAGATAAAAAGAGGAACGACTGAGTAAGATCCAAAACAAAAGTCGAGGACATAACAATAAAAATTGCAAAACTTAAATGGAGCTTCGCGGGCCACACTGCTAGACAGAAAGACCAACGTTGAAATTCTACAATACAACATTGGAGACCTTACGAAAGTAAACGACCAAGAGGAAGACCACAGATGAGATGGGTTGATGACATTAGAAGAATAGCCGGAATAAATTGGAAATATGTTGCTCAGGATAGAGACCGATGGAAGGAGTTGGTAGAGGCCTATGTCCAAACATGGACGACAGAAGGCTAAGAAGAAGAAGACGAAGTTCATTGTGGTTATGCTATACCAAAAACAACTAAAGAGTCTGTAGAAAGCTGATAATAGCTAATAAGTTATAGCTATTATATATATATATATATATATATATATATATATATATATATATATATATATATATATATATATATTATATATATATATATATGGTCTGTATGAAATGAAATACTGCAATTGAGAATTGAGAATTGAGAATGTTACTATAAATATTTAGGAACATGGATAACATCAGATATAGACCTAACCAAAGAAATTAAGACACGTATTGAAATAGCACGTACATCATTTATTAAACTTAAAAAGTTTCTTTGTTGTCGGGATATAAGGTTAGAACTACGCCTGAGAATGCTTCGATGTTACGTGTTCTCTACTCTTCTTTATGGTCTGGAAGCTTGGACACTAAAACAAGTTCATCTGAATAAGCTGGCCGCCTTTGAATTTTGGTGTTACAGAAGAATCCTACGAATATCATGGATTCAAAGAATGTCAAACATGGAAGTAACTAGAAGGATAGGAAATGAGGCGGAAATAATATTAACTATTAAAAGACGAAAACTTGAGTACTTGGGACATGTGATGAGAGGGCAAAAATACGCATTATTACAACTTATTATGCAGGGCAAAATCCGAGGAAAGCGAAATGTGGGAAGACGAAGAATATCCTGGCTTAAGAACTTAAGGGAATGATTTGAATGCAGTAGTGCAGAACTTTTTAGAGCGGCAGTCAACAGAGTCCGCATAGCCATGATGATTTCCAACCTTCGATAGAAGATGGAACTTAAAGAAGAAGAATGAAATGAAACTCTATTTGTTATTTCTCAATATTTCGTCACGATTTTGTGACTTCTTCAGGAGAAAACTGTAAATTTATTATAATTGTTATATGTAAACAAAATGAATATTTCAATACTTACAACAATTTAAATTTTGATAACATATCCAATTTAAATAAATGACATTTTTTTATTTTAATTTATTTGGGAGTTATGGTAACCGCAATATTTTAGAGTGAATTCCCATTGTACAATTTTTAGCGAATAAGTTTTAGTAAACAATTACATATTGTGACAGTATTATCCATATAATAAGGTGCGAAAGTAGAATATTGAGAAAGAATCAGGAACATCGTAAATTGATCTATAAAATGTAATTGATGGTACGTAGTCAGTTATTGGTCTGATGTTGTTAGATACTGATATTAAGATCTATCATATCATATATTGTTTAGTATATTACAGTAGATATTACTTAAATGGTTTGGTATCTGTCTTATAATTGATAGATTCTGGAGTTTTATTAATGTGTACCATTTTAAGGAAAAGTCGATTTTTATAATTATCAATTTGTTACAAGATTTTTACATTATTAAATTCAAAGTTATGTCTTTAAGATAAATCACAGAAAAGGCCATCGAGTACAATAAATCAGCTTATCTATGTTTTATAGACTTGACAGAGGCTTTCGATCGCATCCAAGTTGAAGACGTCTTACACCTACTGTATAAAAGAACTATACCAATCAATATTATACATACCATTGAAAACATCTACTTAAATAATCGAATACAGCCAAAGATAAATGGAAAACTAACACAGTGCATATCATTACTAAGCCCACTTCTCTTCAATATAATAATGGACGAAATAATACAAGCAGTACGTAAAGGTTATTGTTACAGAATTTGGAACAAAGAAATCCAAATATTATATACTATGATAATAGGAAATACAATATGATAATATCAGCAGAAAAAACCAAATGTATGACATCTTAATATCCACTAAGATGTTTAATCAAAATTGATGGGAAATTAATAAAGCAGGAAGCACGGTTTAGATATCTGGAAATAGATATAATTAGTTACGGAAATCGAGGGAAAGAGAGGCCTAGGAAGGAAAAGACTATCATGGCTCAGAAACATCCGAAAATGGACAGGGCTAAATTTTGAACAGCTAATAAGAACAGCTGAAGATAGAGAAGAGTTTAAAATTGTAGTAGCCAACCTCCATTGAGGAGAGGGCACTTTAAGAAGAAGAAGAAGAAGAAGTTACGGAGATGTTGAAGAAGTACGACAACAAAGCTTAAAAGCAAGTAAAACGGCGGGATCTCTTAACCCTCCAGTGGTGACCTACGGTCTCTGTGACACCGATGACAAAGACAAATATTCATTATTACGCCGACGCGGGGCGGAGCGCTGCTTCCGTCTAAGTACATGCATCATATTTAACCATCTATCTAGTTACCGCGATTCAGTTTGGTAGCGATTGTTTTAGGGTACGTACACGTGTTTCGGTCTCTCAAACCGTACGTCACCTAAGTCATATACGGAATACCAGACCGACGTCACCAAAGTTGGAGTGTTTTTTCATAAGGTAAGATAGTTTTCCAAAAATTATTATTGATAAATTTGAACCCTATTTGATTTATAACTATTAAACAAAAACTATATATTCATATCCTATAATAAAAACTATTTCAAGTTATTTTTATAGCAATATGCAACATTTTATTTTGACAGTAGATAACCCACTGTAATTTTTGTTATTTAATTTTGTCCAATAAATCAACTTACCATTGCCTCATTTGCGGCCGGTAAATCGAACATTACAGTACCTGATACCGTAATGTGTTGCCTAGCAACCTTTTTAGAAAGCAATTACGTTGGTCGTGATTGGAAAGGATCCATCTTGTGACATTTTGATTTTATCTATTTGACAGTGGCAAGCAAATATTATTAAAACTGTCAAATAAAATTTTTAATTTAATATATTCCAAAATATTATAAATACAGAATGAAATAAAATATCATACGAAACACGTCCGTTAGTTGTTATTACAGTACTCGTTTATATTCCAGACTCGGCTCCTATCGTTGCCTTTTCCGTAAAACAACTCGTACTGTAATAAGTCACCTACCGGACTTGTAACGTAAAATACTATTATTTTGTTTTAGAAAAAAAAAATTAATTACGAGAAAAATGAACTGTGGTTACAGCAACTTCTAGATGAAGTTTTGCCTGATAATGAGGAAGACATATCCCAGTATGACGACAATAGCGATGATAATGAGGAAGATTATGTTAAACAGAGAGATGGAGATTCCGAAAGCGAACAAGAACTTGATAATACAGAAGCTGAAAACGAAGAGGTATACACTGACAGAGAACACAATGAAGGAGATACTGAAAAAGAAGATAATCAAAAGACGTACAACGAATCCAGAGCATATAAACGAGGCTCATTTTATACCGAAAAAGACAAAACAACACTTTGGAACAAACACTGTCCACCAGTGAAACTAAGATCTAATAGGACTCGATCGAAAAATGTTATTACTCAATTACCAGGTCCAAAAATTCCTACCCGAAATTTGACTGACGAAAGTTTTTTGATGAGTTTGTTATTGGAACCATTGTAACATTTACAAATCAGCACATCAAAAAATTTGCCAGAGGAAAATATGCAAGAGAAACATATACAAGGCCCACTGATGCTTTAGAAGTAGAAGCTTTGATAGGCTTGTTATACCTAGCTGGAGTAAAGAAGATGAATAGACTGAATTGTAATGAAATTTTCAGTACTAATGGGGATTCGCCTGAACTGTTTCGCTTGACGATGTCACAGCAACGTTTCCTGTTTCTTCTAAGACATCTTAGGTTTGATGATCAAGGTACAAGAGATGCTAGAAAAACTGTAGATAAACTGGCTTCAATTCGTGACGTTTTTCAGCAAGTGAATGAAAACTGCGAAAAAAACTTCAGCCTCTCTCATCACACAACGATTGACGAAATGTTGGTTGGGTTTCGCGGAAAATGCTCATTCAGACAGTATATTCCTTCGAAGCCAGCCAAGTATGGCGTTAAGATTTTTGCGTTAGCTTATGCTATAATGTTTTATACAACAAATATGGAAGTGTATGTTGGCAAACAATCGATAGATTCTTCACACGCCGTCAGCAATTCCGCGATTGATGTGTTAAATAGGCTCGTTGAGCCCATTAGCGGAACTTGTAGGAACCTGACGACCGACAACTGGTTTACCAGTGTAGAGCTATGTGAAAAATTACTAAATGAGCACAAGTTAACACTTTTGGGGACAATTCGCAAGAACAAGAGACAGCTACCAATACAGTTTTCAGTGGGCCAAGATCGACCAATTCCATCAAGTATATTTGCATTTAGGGAAAACTCCACTTTAGTGTCACATGTTCCAAAACCCAAGAAAAATGTCTTACTGATCTCTAGCATGCATGATGATGACCAAATTGACCAAACAACGCAGAAGCCCATGATGATAGTAGATTACAACAAGACGAAAATAGGAGTGGATATGATCGATCAGCTATCTTCAAACTATAATGTAGCGCGCAACTCCAGGAGATGGCATATGGTAATTTTTTATGCTTTGCTCAATGTAACGGGTATTAATTCATTTGTTATCTACAAATGCAATAAAGAACAAGATAAAATGTATGTCAGAACAACATTTTTGACCCAACTTGCCATTGGTCTTACAAAGAATCATATGGTAAGGAGACAAGCTGATCAGCATATAGCCCGGCCTATTCGAGAAAGGATACAGCAACTCTGGAAACTCCCAATCGAAAATCAGAGAACTGATGATCCACCACGTGCTGGACGTTGCCAAGTTTGCACATCTAAACAAAACAGGAAAACCAAATATTACTGCAAAGTGTGCAGTAAGTTTCTATGCCTCGAACATGCTTACATTATTTGCAGTCAATGCTCACAGGAAAGACGGTGCAATACAAATAAATAGGCCGATGTAGATTAAATAATAAATGTATTTTGTTTTTATTTTATTGTCTATAAGAAATATAGTTTATTTTAATATTTTCATTCGTGGTGTTACAAAATACTGTTCTTGTTTATGTTTTTATTATTGGACTTTGGAATAAACATATTATTTGCGTATTAGCCTTTTGTTTTATTATAAAAAAACAATAGATGTGATAGATCATTCTTTAAAGGGGTTTAGGACCCCACAAGTGTATATCGGTCTGAGAGTCCGTCGTCACCAGTAGTGTGGCAATTTGTCACGTTACCTCTGGAGAGTTAATGACACAATCTGGAAGAACAAACACCTAAGACAAGGCACAAAAACAAGAATCTATAAAGTAGCAATTAGACCTATATTAACGTACACGGTGGAGACAAGACCTGACACATCTAAAACGAGACGACTACTAGAAACAACAGAGATGAAAATACTCCGACGAATATCAGGGAAAAGTCTGTTAGATAGGGAGAGAAGCGAAAACATAAGAAGAGCATGCAATATAGAAGACATAAATAGATGGGTGACAAAACGGAAACCGGAGTATAACGAACACATTAGTAGAATGGCAGAGAGTACAAATAGCATGAGGTAAGTCACCAAATGGACTAAGAAGTATTGGTATACCAAGAAAAAAATTTTGCGATAATTTAAACAATTTATGAGGCTAATATTGAAGAAGACACAGGCTTTAAAGCCTACCTATAAGAAAGAAGAAGAAAAAGGTTTATATTGTTTTCTAATTATTAAAATAAACACTTGCAAATATACCATTATTAAATTAATGTTTCCATTGACAGTATGCATACTTTCTAAAAAAAAAATGAATATTTAATGCATACTTTTGGGTCTACTGATGACAAAACGTACAGAATAAGCCAAATACATATAATAACAAGATCATAATTTATTGAGTATTGAATTCAAAAACTGTGATGAACCCATTACTGAAGGTTAGCGAAAAGAGAGGAAATAATGGTCTTATAGGTCAGCAGTTTGTGGAAAAGTTGAAATGATAACGTGAATTATCGTCGGATATAGCAGACTACATCTGCAATTTTCTGAATAGTGAAAAATTTTACATTTGATGTTCAATATTTCTTTGAAAATGAAACAGTAGATCCACTTAATTCATTTAAAATTGCATATACCCTACACAATAATAGGAAGATTTTTAATTATAATACAATCTAAAAGAGGCTGAGAATGTACTTAACCAGTTCATACATAATTTGGACAAAATTATAAGACAATATAGAATTGTTGATCTTTATCTTCAATTAGAAACGAAAAATAAAACTGACCTTCAACTTCACGTACTTATGTTGTCCTAAAGATGAATCCAAGAGACAAGACGGTGGACTGTCTCGTAGTTGATGACTGTTCAATCTCTTCGGATCCCAAATCCATTTGAGTAGTCTTTTACAAATGACCCAAACACCGAAAATTATCGATAAAACATGAATTCTGATGGAATCGACGACCGAAATCGACTGAATACACATTGTGGCCATTACTCGTACTTATCGCTAGTACTACATTGAAAAAGTGTTGTAAGTAAACACTCGGCTTCCTCTATTCGAGCACGCATCGAAATTTTGAAGATTCTTATTGTTATCAGACGATAGTAGAACAGATCCGTATTAAAAATTTATTATAGGAAAGGCACCAAATTTGACACACTTTTTTTGAAAAACAAATATAAAACATAATATTCAAAAGTTTTTAAAACATTTATTTCAAAAACTTAATTTTAATGTTTCTAGAACACAACAAAAAAAATAAAGCGAATAAAACATATATTTTTGCAAAAAAATACATTAAATTTTTTTTGCGACATTTAATATTAAAAATAAAATGTGTCCTAATTTGGGATAGCCAGGTATCTAAACTTGAGACAGGTACCTTAATTTGAGATACTATTCAAAAAAGCCCTTTCCTTCGCAGAAAAGGCAAATGAATGTGCTGGACTTTATTTCTCCACAGTCTTCATGTGACCACCTGTCACATTGGTAATACTTCGCTGATCGTTCGCCATATCTATTTTCTATCGTTTTTTCCACTTTCGTTGGACGATGAATCAGCTAGAAAGTCTTTACTGCTATCTGAGCTTGAACTCAAAATCTTTCCGCTTCCTTCTTGATATTTTGCCTTTTGATGTAGAAGGTTGAATGAAACAATATGGAGAAATAAAAATATCGGGAAAGAAACGTGTAACGATGTGCTGATCGTTTAACAGTTTGAACCATGGGAGTCTTAATATTTGCGCACCCACTTCTACAACATGATGGCAAAGTAGGATTCGGAGTGGATATTTAAGGCGTGTGAGTAGCGGAATTAGACAGTCTTGTAGCTAGGGCTCTAGCCTCCCCGACTCGCCGGTGTACTGAACCTGCGAGGCAACCCGGACAGAAATATTTCCGTATTGAGGATCATACTCTGTCCTTAACTAAGCAGAACCCATCGGTATTGTGTATTCAACTTTACCGTGGGGCCTGTACAACCGAATATTTAGTTTGCGAGTGCGTTCGAAGCTCCCGCTGAATTGAAGCGGAAGCGAGTATAAGTCTGCGTGCGATTGACTTCACCTATTTCATTTGTTTGTTATTAATAATAAATTTTTGTTTCTTTTATAGACGTTCGCCGGGGAAATCATTTACCGCGGGATACAGACGGGGACGTAGGATCCATTTTATTTTTAGCTATTGTATATACGGAGTATAATTCATTTTATTTTTATTTATTGTATATATGCTTAATTAATAGATTCATTTTTATTTCAACCTGTGTTTTACTGAGTCTGTCGCCCCGAAAGAGCTACCCGTCACAAACGAAAGGCAGAATTTACAAAACAGTCATCAAACCAATAATGACATACGCGGCAGAAACAAGACCTGACACAGAGAGAACAAAAAGGATGCTAGAAACAGCAGAGATGAAAACACTTAGAACAATTTATGGTAAGACACTATGGAACAGAGCTAAAGTGCAAATATACGACATAGATGCAAGGTGGAGAACATCAAAAACTGGGTAAGAAATAGAAGAGTAGAATGGAAAGATCATATAGGCCGAATGACAACAAATAGAGTAGCAATGAAGTCAAGAGACGGTTCCCCAATAGGAAGACGATTAGTAGGAAGACCACGAAAACGATGAAATGGCAACTTACTGGAGCACATTGAAAAACAGACAGAGTCATGTCTATATAAAACGAAGAAGAAGCCGTTTTTCTAAAAGTTTTGACAAAACGTAATTTATTTATTCTCATTTTGATTTATTTTCATTTTGAAAATAAATCAGAAAAAAAAAACAAAATAGTTTTAAGGTTAATTTAACGTCGATTTTTTCTTGAAATTCGAGTAATTAAAACTACATCAAGCACACTGTGGTTCCCAAAAACTCAAGAACAACGCATATATCTGAGACTATACTCAAAAATATATTGCGGCAAACAGCCCGATATTCTTCACAATGGCTAAATCTTCAATCTTCACGATGGCTAAATCACTCTTTCATCAAAATTATTACTGCACGTTCTGGTTTAAAATCTCTGACCCTTTAGCGTGCTGTCAACTATTAGGAAATAAAGTATACCTAATGTTATTAAATATTTTTCTATTACTACTGTCGAAAGCCCTTTTTATTTTTGTTGTTGTTTTGTTGGTTTTAAATATTAATAACACAACCTATTGTACAGAATTCTCTAAAATAAGCGTATTTTTTATTTTAAAATTGACCTCTCTGTTCATTGATCCACGAGACGCCAATATAACGGATTCCATATTTTAAAACCACATCTTTGAACTCATCTCATCCTGACTGAATGTATTTTTGTTGGTAAGTCCGGACCTCAACTTATATTAAATAATCTTTATACAAGTGACGAAAGGTCAATTCCGATACGGTTCCATTCCTCTATGACACTTCGTAAGATCATACGAAAATAAATTGATTAAAGTTCACATTTACGTGTTAGTCATTATCTACCTATTCACATAAATAATGATATAATCAAAACTCCACAGTAGGTACTTACCTTTGAACGTAGACGTTAGACATTTTACATATAAAACATTTTTTCAAAGATAAGGTATCGAATTATTAGGTTAAGAAACTTTTTATTAGTAGGGAATGATCATCAGGAAATTCCTTTGAGTTGTTTGTTATTTTTCCTACCAAATATGGTTCACTGGCTAAATTGAATATAAATTCATAGGCTGCTTCAAAACGTGTCATGGGCCAGTATGACAGGGACACTGATTGGTAAACTGTAAGTTTAGTATTACAACACCGAAGTGAGAAAATATTGGCAGTAGTAAAAACATATTTTTGAAAACACTGTCTAACAATATAATTGTTTTGGGCTCCAAACTATCATTGGGTTATCCTATATACTTTTGCACGCTGAAACGCACCATGATATTGTTTAGAATTAGATCTTTATTAACAGATCAAGTTACAGGTCTATTCTAATGCCTCCACCACACATCGGCAGACGCGTCTACGTACGCATTTGCAGATGTATCAGCACAAGCTGACCACACAGACGCATCCGTGGACGTGATATATAAACAACAGATGATTAAATTACCCCATCTACACATCTCCAGATGCATACGTAGATGTCGTCCGCAGCCATAAGAGAGACATGTTTTAAGTTTGGAGAAATCTAGTTCTTGGAGTGTTACACACCTATAGGTGTAGCACACCTATAGTTCGATATCAGACTTGTAGACATTAAATTCCAAGAAATCGTGATGGCAATTCTTGGTTTTCCAGTGGCGTACAATTTTTTTTGTAACAGTTAGAGATAGCGCTACTTGTATTAAAGAATTTTGAAATATGTATTACATGTACCACTATTTTATTCCTCATCATCATCATCATCATCATCATCCAGCCTTCTGCGTCCAAAGTAGAACAGTTAAACAGTCTGATTTCTCTTGTAATACATTTACCTCAAATACATTTTGTATCTTTGTGTAGTCTTACGGTCTGACAACAAGATCCTGACGTTTATCATCTTTATATAGATCCAGTATCATCCCGTATAGATTGAGTATATCAATATTGATGAGCAGACCTGTGGAAACTTTCAGCAACTAGGCCTTAACTAAATTGTCAAAAAATTTGGTGAATATGTAATCTTTAAATATGAAGAAGAGTATTTTCCAGGAAAAATCTTAAGCTTTACAGATTACCAGGTTGAAATTTCATCGATACAGAAATCTTTGAAGTCTTGGAAGTGGCCAGATAAAGCAAATATTGGAAAATACGATTGGGATGACGTTATTGGGCAATTGAAGAACCAAAAATTATTTCTTAAAGAGGGTTTTTCATGTAAAAGAATTGCAGTATTTGTGGGACATTATATGAGATAATAAAAGCTTCTTTACTAATCTTATTTTTCAATTTGCAGTATTTGTTTCGTGAAGAATTTTATTTAGAAATATATTAAGATATTGGCTTTGATTTGTTCAGTTTTAATAAACTCTTTAAATGTAAGTTTATAAACTCTTCAATTTAATGGTATTCAATACAAGTTGTTAGCTGCAAACTGTGTATAATTTAGGTAAAGAAATAATAAATAAGACTTACAATCAATTTAATTTAACCATCAGACGACTGGTTTCGCTTTCTATAATATGCAGAGCATCTTCAAGTCTCGATACAAAGTTAAATAAATGCTGAAATGATATATATATATATATATATATATATATATATATATATAAATATATATATTCGGTTTTATAACGTCTTACGACGTTGTCCGACTCCCAAACGCCACTGTATTCTGTCTTGAGTTAGGTCTTCGTCCAGATTTCCAGCGCTAATCGCTTTCCTAACTCCAGGTTCCAACTCTGTGGTGGTCTTCCTCGTTTCCTCTTCTCTGGGGGTTGCCACATAATCGTTTTTTTAGGCAATCTTTCGTCCCCCATTCGGCTCACATGCCCATACCATTTAAGCTGTTTTCTCTCAATATCCTCAACTATAGTGCCCTCTATACAAATTTGTTGTTTTATCACTTCATTCCGTATTCTGTCGGCTCTTGATATTCTCATCGATCTTCTGATGGCATCCATTTTCGTGGCTTCGACCTTTTTCTTATATTTCTCGATTATTCTCCATGTCTCAGCTCCATAAAGTAGGCTAGTTTTAACCATTGTCTCATAGATGTCCCATTTTCTTTTCTTTGATATTTCTTTACTCCACAGAACTCCGTTCAAACATGCTATAGCTCTTCGTGCTTGTACAATTCGATGTTCTATTTCTCGTTCGCCTTTTCCACTACGCTCGAAGATGACGCCCAGGTATGTATATTCGTCACATGGATTTATTTTTTCATTGTCATCGATATCGAGTTGTTCTGCTTCAGCTCCAATTGAGAGGTATTTTGTCTTTTCTAAATTGATATTTAGATGCTGAAATGATAAAAACCCATATTAGGGTGTTGTCTAATAAAGATAAACAAATTAGATGTTATAAATTACAATAATTATGCAATATTACATGTCTGTGGTTTTGTT